AACGAACTCCAATACGTAGTAGCAATAATCAAGACAAGTTATTTGAGATAAATAAATTGCGTCACACCAGAGATACCTACTTCCTCGTTATACCTTAGATGCCTTGTTCGAATAAGAAAAACAAAGAAAAAGTCGCATGCTATATGTATATGCAAATTAATCCCTGGTAGTGACCAAGTTCATAAACATATGCAAGCCATTTTAATGAGTTTCGTAATAAAACGAGCCACTATTTTGCATAGCAAGTAAGGTCCGCCTGGTGAACAATGAAACAATTATGCGGATTGCTATAAATATTATTTGCTATACTCTCAAGTAAATATACTTAGAACCCAACTAGCCTAAGCAACTTGGAGCAATAATTCGTAATGAATTTTCCGAGGGGCTTTTTCGTGGAAAAACGTTTAATTTAATTTTGAAGACGAATAATCAAATGTTCTTGGACAAGACCCAAATGATCATAGAGCCATAATTTTCGGAACGTCTGTGTTGTTCAAAGTGCGAACGAATACAATAACTCTAATTTAAACTTATTAACCAACCAAGGTACAATTCGGGATGAATTTTCCGAAGGGTTTTTTCATGGAAATGGTTTATTTCATTATGAAGACGAATATCCGAATGTTCTTGGACTTTCGGGTGTTATTTGTGTTATTCCAAGTACGGACGGTTGATTAGATATTCCCACTGCTGTGGGCTATTGTGTTGCGTGCACACTAGTGCGCAATGTGCACAATGCCGGTTAGCCGCGGGCGCGGTCAGCCGCCACGGTCTGGCTGCCGGCTAAGTTAACAACATTTGCGGTTCGCCGAGCATCCCCAGACGTCGAGCAAACACTAGCTTAGACAATTAAATTAAGCAACACTCACTATCCATCCTCAAAGACACCCGAACGAATGTATTCGTGTATTCTTACCATACAGGTAGGAAAATGCATAGGTACGTGCGAATGTTAGGAGTGCGTTGAAGACTTCGAGTATTCTTGTAGGACCTAATTATGACGTTGCGTGCTTGATCGCACTACGTTTTTCAGTGCAGAATGTGTGTAATTAAGTAGCCACTGAGAGAGCTATAAGTTGTAGTGATAATATTATTCATGCAAATCTTTTTCTCATCAAGGAGAGAAAGTATGATATCTCTTATTCAATCGAGATCGGGAGAATTTATAATTGGAAATGGGTTATTAGAAAAGTTGATTTTATTTCGTCTGGCTCTTATCGAATAGTCTTACTTAATTGACTATTAATGCAATCTTATCATGGATCTATCGATAAATAACTAAAAGATATAAACGCAACTTTAAACCTCTAGTCAGGCACACATTTGCTAACAACCTGACTGCGACCAGAACAGCCGTACTAAGTTATTGTAGAGATGGCTTATTATGGACGTCGCCCCCGGCGGAATGTCACCCTGCACCCTGACGCGTGACGGAGGCAACATCAACTGATTGTACATAACAATAAGGTCCACAATTACATGAGCGTATTTTAAATTGTATCAATACATTGCAGAGCATAGGCGCGGAATGTGCCGTTTAGGGTACCCCGTCTAGACAAGTTTTTGCACAAAGTGTACAGGTGTCTCTAGAACTAGGAAAACGAGCTTGCTGAATTGCCCTGGAACAACAAATCTAACTATGGAACTAGAATAGCAGCCCTATTGTGTCCCTACAGACAGATGCTAGAAGCATAATTTAAATTCAGAAAGAAAGTGTGCGAATCTTTGATCCGCGGATCACGCTTTCAAATCAAATGACATCAACAAATGAGGATATTATAAAACTCATTTCCGGTGATTTTTAGTTATCTGGTCATTCATAGTCCAATTCATTCACAAGTAATTAAGGACAATCCGGTTAAGTCGAATACGAGATATGTGCGACTGTCAATACACGAGGCAAATATCACAATAGCTCGTGGTACAGATCAGGGTTCGTGGTTCGCCGGTCGTTTCGACACAATGGGCGCGTGATCTATGCGTCTACGATGGCTGACACACGATCATTCCATTCTACTTTACAGACATTATTATTCAGCAATTTAAACTGCGATAGAAGTCATTCAAATAAGTTTCAATGGGTAGGAAACTTGAAAACCCTTTGACAACTTCAATAATAAAGGTAACTTTTAGCCGATTCAGAAATCTAAACCAAACTTTCAATTAGACTAACTTACATCAAGGCTTTCAATGGTATCATATTTTTTATAAAGTTTCTAATTTCAATTCTGTGGTTTTGTATTACATAAAGTATTCAACGCTGGATATTTACTTTCGCTTATCTTATACATTTGTAAATGAACCTTTCACCAATATCGTTTTATCAGCTAGAGACGTCTTTTATTTGCGAATCGACATTATAGACATCGTAATAGGTACTATGGATTCTCTAAGTCTAGCTAGATTGTTTGATGAATAAATATCTCAGAATCGTGATAATTATAATGATTTCCAGTATTCTGGGAAAAGGTATCAGTAACTCGACGATGGTAAGCATTGAAGCGTAAGACAAACAGTCGTGTTGATACAGCATGTATCATAGTCGGATAAAAAAGGTATTTAAAATTCCTAGGTAGCAAGGTTGAATGCACATGAGTAAGTGTAGGTATTGATTGCCAAGTGAAGGTCGGAGTGAATGTCGTTTACATCATCTGCGTTCACTGGCCGAAGATCCTGCGCCGAGATAGCTTCAAAGGGATCTCGGATGGGCCCTTACATCTAGAGACTAGAAGATTAATTGCCGACTGCAGACATTCGATCTGCCTTGTCTCGTCTAGACGAATTGTTCGGATCTAGCCGTACTTATTTCTTTGTAACCGAAGTCAATTTACAACATTTCTTTCTATCTTTTAGGTCTGCTACTGACGATAATAATAAAGTTCGTATCAACTTACAAATGCAAATTCATCTTGGAAGAGTTTAGTTAGATTCAAATTCACAATATTTTTTTTAGAATTGTCTCTTATCAAAGTAAACAATAATGAAGCTTTTAAATAATATACTCTGCACTGCGAACACTGGCATTTTAATGTGCCTATTATTTCATACAATATGCTTACAAAAAATTAAATGTAAAGACGGTCACGAATTTTGAAACGATTCAATTTTCATTCGGAAGACGTAACTAATTACATTAAATCCGTAATGCTCGACTGAACCATATCGTTATTATAAACAACAAACTATGTAGCCGAAGTGTGACTAACGAATCGTACTTGCATAACACATTTCGTATTATTTATAAAACTTTCTATACCTATATTAGAGGTGGNTTTTTTAGTCCGTAATGTTTAATATCAAAAAATATTGGACACGTATATTTTTATTTGATCAATCTAACAAATAATTACATAGTTATGGTGCGTTGAAGTTGCGCACGACGTTAGAACGTGCGGCATTTTTAAGCAAGGGTTTACGTCACGGGCCTCATTATGATCTTTGGGGTGCTTTATCTCTCTAAAGTTTCATTAGTTTGAAAAAGTGAAATATACGTGTAGAGTATTTTTTGATAAGTTAACTGACGGACTAGTTAAAACTCTTGCTTTTTGACCCAGGCAACATCCCCATTGACGAGTTTGAGTAATAACAGCTGTTGTCCTTGTCATCATTGGGATATTATGGAATCCATATTTAGTCAGTTTATTCTTGACTTTAAGACAAGTAGATAGAGTTCAAAATAAGCTTGTTACTATACTCTTAAGGCTGATTTACGCGAGTTAAGTAGATAAGTAGGTAACTAAATTTTTACTTGATTTTTCTGTCAAGTTGGTGGGCGTGGCTTGTCACTTGACACTCGTTTGACAATCAGTTTCATAGTAAACAAGAGCTTGACGTTTGGAATTAAGTTAAAATTTAGATACGATACAATTTCAGCGCTTAAAATTAAGTTAAAATTTAGTTACCTACTTATATACTTAATACTACATGTATTAAGCCACCAGCCATTAGTGCCTCATAAAAGATTCAAATACTAAAAGTCTATTTAAGAACAAATCATCTTTTAAAGGTTTTAAAACACATTGGAATTTGAACTTAATATCTTTAGCATAAAGCTTAAAATCGTTTGATAAAAATTTAGATGGGTTAACCCACATTAAAAATCAGAAATAATATTTCTAATGCAACTTCAGACCGCATTTACATCTAAAACTCAATGACAATATCACATCAAAGCTTATTTATTATTCGCTAATATTTTCAAAGTTCGCATACATTCTTACCTTTCTTCACCAAAATGTTTGTTCACATTTATTGGCCAAAAAAAGAAGCCAAACAGACAAATCGCGTTTTATACATGCACATAAGTATATTGACAATGCGAAGATGCGAGCGCCCCTGGTGGTTAAATGTGGAAGTTGGCTATATTTGGAAATAGCAAAAGAATTGATGTCAAAAAAATCAGTATACCTACTTTATATCATTTGGTGAGGTTGTTTCTGTCATTCATTTATGACTGACACAAAATACGTTTTATTTCCAAAGTTACCTTTGTATATAAAGAAGAATTGATATTATGTGATTGGTTGAATGACACTTTTTTAAAACATTTCTAGTAATACTTCCGCCATCTCAAATAATTTAAATACATAATTGTGGTATATGTGTATAAATAATTTAGCTAGCGGATGAGAGTGATGGAACTAGCGACCACTGAAATAGTCAGTTGCAAAGCCATCTGTAGCTATTGTTACTTATCTTGAGTTAGGATCTAGTTTCACACACCTTCGCCACATCTCATCGCCAGGGGACAGTAGTCTTTGTATTGCCAACATAAAAAAGTCAATGTGACTATACTAATCACAAAATGTGCAATCATATTGACACTCCACATATCATTTACAATACCATACACACTATAATAAAAATATTCAAAAAAGGATCTACATCTAAAAAAAGAAAATCCTCCACCAAAAAAAAAACGCACACAATTGTGAAAAAAATAATCAAGAAATAAAAATAACACGTTGTTAGAACAAAAAGCTTCAGCGCCAAAAGGTTTGTTAACTCAAATCGTTGAAAAAATTTTGAATTTGTCAACTTAAAGTTTCCAAATAAAATACCTCAGAGACATTCTCATAATATCATCCCCAGTGATCACCCGACACCACTTGCTATAACACAATAATGATAAATATCAAATAAATAAATAAGACGGTTACATAAATAAACGGCACTATAGGTTGGTGATGAGAAGACGTTTGAAAATTGAGTTGATTTATTTTTAGAATAAAAAAATTGAGACATAGTAGTGACCCTTGGAGAGTCCTATAAATAGGAATTGAGGCAGGAACGTACTGTGCATATGGCTGATTAGGCAAAGCCTAGAGTCTACCTGGCTCTAGTTTTTTATTGATTAAAGTCAGTAGAATATTTTATGAAGAACCATGAAGATTTATTTTCAATCAGGAGCTAGTCTATATAATAAAAGAAAGTCGTGTTAGTTACTTCGCTTATAACTCAAGAACGGCTGAACCGATTTAGCTGAAAATTGTCAGGGAGGTAGTTTAGAGCCAGGAGAAGGACATAGGATACTTTTTATCCCGTTCGAAATTAAAAAAAAAAGTCTGCTTATTTATTGCCATTAAGGCGGAACAAAGTTTGAGGCGGCGAGATGTTTGTGATCGCCGCAAAACTGCGCGCGACTAATGGCGAAGGCAACATCATGGATAGGTTATCTATCCTCGCCGAACACGTAGACTTTTGCTACGCTATTTCCTCTTTCCACGCTCCGTAATGGCTAACCCCACCGCTAGGATCAAACCCCGGTCAATCACCTTAGCTTTTTTCAACGCTAACGGTCTTAGACAGCAGAAGGACGAGGTTACTCAGTTCCTTACCGACCACCAGGTCGACATCTTTCTGGTTCAAGAGACCCTCCTAACACCCTCTATTCGCAATCCTAGGATAGCGAACTACAATATCATTAGACACGATAGGCCCACACGTGGCGGCGGCACGCTTATTTACTATAAGCGTTCTCTGCACTGTGCTTTAGTCGATCCCCCTTCGCTCTCTAACCTAGAAGTCTCACTCTGTCGGCTAGCCATGACTGGACACGAGCCNTTGGATAGACTATAGGTCTCGGGGACGAGATGACGCGTAGTTTGTTGATGCTTTAATGAAGAGGTCGCTACATTGCTGCCTATTAGTTATCTAATGACCGTGTCGGGCAGCCCTAGGACCTGGTTAGAGTTCTTCGTTGTCGCTTTAATGGTGGTGTTTTAGCTATTTACTCTCGTCAGGCATTTGGGCAGCCGGGTTAGGCCAGTGTTCTTCGTACTTTCTTTAATCAGGAACTTTTTCTTTACTACCTTCATCTGTAGGGCTAGGCTAATATTCTTCGTTGTTTCTTTAATAGTGTTGTGGGATATGATGCTCAACCACAATTAGGAAGCTAAGGTGTTAATAGTGCTTCCTTCCGAGCGGGTGTTATGCTCGGGGACCAAGGTCCTATTTACACCATCTTGGTTTGTCTATATATACTTGGCAGGATATAAAACTCCGTCACCGCGATGCAGGTTTGTATGAGCGGCGGAGTGTGCCATAGTGTAGTAGTGACAGCGCCATCTGTTGGTACACAGTTTGTAGTGGCGTAGCGTCGGTGTCGCCACAGTGTGTATTTTAGCTACTTACTCTCATCAGGCAGCCTAGAAGTCCTGACCACAGCGGGTGCATCTCCAGACACGTCTCTCTCTGGCAGCAAGCTGCGCGGGCGCGTCGTGGGCCACGTGACGTCATCACGTGACGTCTAGTGTCTAGTAGATCACTACCTATCCTCTATCTTGTGACTTAAGACCGAGAGATGGCACTGTCTGTATATTAGATGAGGACGAGACGCATGAGCGACACCAGCGCTTGATTTGCTAGTTTCTGACAGATTACTGTTGGGTATATTTTGACTTGTGGCCGAGAGATGGCGCTATCTGTATATTAGGTCGCAAAAACAAGATGGCGAGTGCTTGTCAATGTTTCAATGGGAGGGAAAGGGCTATTATTTTGCAATTATCCTCACCAGATAGCGAGTTGTTTATATGTAGTTTGCTTTACTGAAGGGGGGGGGGTTACTCTTTTGCACTTACCTTCATCAAATAGCGACTTGTTTATCGTTTCTTTAATGGAGAAAGGGGGTTATTAGTTTGCTTCTTACCCTCATCAGGAAGTCTGGCGGTCCTGTTCACAGCGGAAGCATCTCCAGATACGTCTCTCTCTGGCAACAAGCTGTGCGGACGCGCATATGGCCGAGAGATGGCGCTGTATGTACATTAGATCGCGAACACAAAATGGATTGTTTTTCGTTGATGCTTTATTTGGGGCCAGGTTATTTACTGATGTTTAACGTTCTTTTAAGTGTCTGTTTTAGCAACTTACCCTCATCTGGCAGTCTGGCAGTCCTAGCCACAGCGGGTGCGTCTCCAGACACGTCTCTCTCTGGCAGCAAGCTGCGCGGACGCGTCGTGGGCCACGTGACGTCATGATGTGACGTCTAGTATCTAAAGCCTGGTCCGTGAGCACGTAGAATCCCGTCCAATGACTCCATGCTACCCATCCTTATCGCTCGCGCGTAATTATATTGCTGTCGCGACTGTTGCGACTGGCAGCCGCAGTGAGTGTGCGAGCGCGACAGCAACATAATTTAGTGTCTAGTAGATCACTACCTATTCTCTATCTTGTGACTTAAGACCGAGAGATGGCACTGTCTGTATATTAGATGAGGACGAGATGCGTGGGCCTCGAAAGCGCTTGATCTGACAGATAACCGATTGTTCTCTATCTTCTGACTTGTGACCGAGAGATGGCGCTGTCTGTACATTAGGTCGCGGTGACGAGATGACGTGAAGTTTGCGATGCTTTATTGAGGGGAGGGTTATTAAATTACTACTTATCTAGTGTTTCACAGTCAGCTAGCTATTGTTGATCATCTGGCTACCTACCCGAGTATATTTGCCGACGCTAGATGTTTTTGTCGTTGCTTTAATAGTGTGGGGGTTTACTATGTTGCTTAGCTTCATAAGGTACTCTAAGATCGATTTAACCTCGTAAAGCCCGGTCTCCGAGCACGTAGAATTTTGTCCAATGACCCCAAAGCTACCCATCCTTATCGCTCGCGCGTAATTATGTTGCTGTCGCGACTGTGCGACGGGCGCCCGCAGTGAGTGTGCGAGCGAGTTGCTTTCATGTGTGTGTGTTTTCTCTACCTACCCTCATCAGGAAGTCTGGCAGTCCTAGCCACAGCAGGTGCGTCTCCAGACACGTCTCTCTCTGGCAGCAAGCTGCGCGGACGCGTAGTGGGCCGCGCCGCCGCTTGGTCGGCTAACACACGGCGGCCGCGGCCCGTGTGACGCGACGCGATGCGTTGCGGCACGTTGGACACCGCCTGGGGAATGATAAGTTAGTAAGGTTAACACTTGTACAAAAAAATGTACCAATTCTTACAATGTTATATGTGAAAGTTTGTTGGCGCAAGTACACTATGCGGAATTCAATATTGATGAAACTACAGTATCATTGTTAATATATCAGAATAGATTAATGTTGCTCACAAAATTGTTGATAAGTATCAACCACTCTTATAGTCAATTATTACAAGCGAGCGAGATGAGCATAATAACAAAGTTAATAAATCAACAAAAAACAGTCAGTCATGTTAAGACTAGACGCAGACCACCGATTTTTAGTTGGCCGATAGTTGGGCCCTATTTTAATTTGTATGAAGAATCGGCCAAATTGAATCGGCGTAATGTATGCATTTCCATACATGCCCATACTGATCAACTGCCCGACTAAACTATCGGCCGACGAAAAATCGATGGTTTGCGCCTAGGTTAAACGTGATATTCATCGACAAGGGAATTTAACATGAAAAAACTTTACATCTTTGACACAAGGTCCACAATCAATTGACCAAAGATATTCTGCGTTTTAACAGTACAAATATAACTTACCCCATCATCGTCGATCTCAGTGGAGCTGCAGCTGGAAGGGTTGGAGTACTTGTTTAGTAACTCGATGGCCAGCCGTTTACTCATGTCTTGCTGGAAGAACGCGTGCTGCAACAAACATCATCATCATCATCAGGTCATTTGGTATCCATTGATCCACACATCCATATCCATCCATACACAGGATCCACCTGAAATACAAGCTTCTTTTAGCTTAGTTTAGGCATCAGTCTCCCACAATAATCTAATTCTACTATAAGCCTAAATTGTACTAAAAATATTGTAATGATTGTTGTGGTGAGGAAATAAAGCACTTTTTTTTTATTGGAGGACGAAGATTTCTAATTTATTAGAAGCAAATGCAGGATCTGGGGGCGTAGTGTGAGTTTATTTCAAACGCATTCGATGTCGACTGCGTAAACAAGTGACATTAAACGTATGACGGATTGTACAGCGTCCCTAGCGGAAACTTTCAAGAACTAAATTCTTCATATATTTTTTTAGCGCTCGCTTGTGACGACGTTTGATGTAAACTCACACTAAGCCCTCTGGCTTACACTCCCCATATGGCGTTCGCTTATTTCTCTTTTAGTCGCCTCTTACGGCAAGAGTATTCCCTTTCTACTTTGCTGGAATCACACGTCTTGATACGAACAATCAGCTCGATCTTCATGTTAGTCGTGCCGCGTACAGCACCTACGTATTAGGTACCTAGCTGTAATAGGATGGGTGACCGACCTGCAAGAGCTTGTCAGTGTCATAGACCGCTCTATCAGCCGTAGACACTTCAAAGGAGCTGATAGATTACAGCGTCTTTTGGATTAGTAACGCCGGGTGCTGCACCTATCACCATGGCTACACCAGGATGGGTGACCGACCTGCTTTGTGCAGCTCCTTCCATCAGCTATAGACACTTGAAATAGGTTGTTAGATCGTAGCGTCCTTTGGGTTGGTAATCCCACGCGCAGCACTTATCGCTATGGTTATATCAGGATGGGTGACCGACCTGCCTTGTGCAACTCCTTCCATCAGCTAAAGACACTTACAGAACTGCTGACGTTCAATCTTGGTGGCGCGCTTTGGTTTAGACACTTCAAATGACCTTATTGATCGTGGCGTCTTTTGAGTTAGTAATGCAGCATCTATCCCCTTGGCTGCAGCAGGATGGGTGACCGACCTGCAAGAGCTTGTCAGCCTTATGCTGCTCCATCAGCTATAGACACTTGTTGATGGATCGTAGCGCCTTTTGGGTTAGTAACTCCCGAGTATAGCACCTATCGTCTTGGCTACAGCAGGATGGGTGACCGACCTACAGCAGCTTANGCCGTAGGCTGGACTTTGGTCCAACACCGTGGTGGGCAACCCTCTAGTTGGGTTCGCCACTGATCGGGCGCCTTATGCGCTCGATACGGCCCGATCGCGAACGTCGGTCTGCGACCGACGCGGACGAGCCTGGGCCTCAACAACAAGCCCACACTCGGCCTCGTCGGCACGCGCACCGACGATCGCCTAACGGCTAGAGTACCTTCTGTACTCGCCACTCTGCCCGGTGAAGCTGGAAAAGCTCCTCAAGCTACCAGCGCGCGTCCCTTCAAAAAAAAAAACAAAGTTCGCCGGGTCAGCCAGTTTCAAATAAAATTTGAGTTGAGTGACCACAATTAAAATATTCCAAACAATATTAACGTGTGTGTTTTTTGAAATATCTATGCTTAAAAGTCGAACTGTTAGGCCCAGAATAGACGGTGAAACGCAACTGCAATGAAACTGCAACTTTGTGATGATTCTGATGAATGAAACTGAAAGTTTCAAACTGGTCGCGTCATGTGTGGTCTCTCAACGGACGCTATGGCAGAAACTTAGATGCAACTCAAAAGTAACTAGCGTTGCAGATTCGTTTCACCGTCTGTTCTGGGCCTTTAAGGGACACAACAAGCTATGAATTTGAGTTTTCTTTTGGATCTTAGTACCAAGTCAATAAGTTCCAAAATCAAATAGGCACCACTCATTTCTCATAACCGTCTTCTCACCACCAACCAAAGGAAAGGTAAAACAACTAAAGACATAAATATAAAAAGCAATATAAACTACAAACGTGATAGTTCACTCACTTCTCGCTAGATGGCATCGTGTCTGTTGCGAGGTCCTGCAGTGGGTTGTGCTTGGGACAACTCATTAGGGACGCCACGCTCCAGTCTTCGCTCGATTGTCTATGGTACACTGTAAGAGAAATATAAGTATTTTAACGTCTTTTTCGCTTGTAAGTGCTGTTTTTTTACTCAACTAGGTGAGCCAACAGTTATCGTTCAAAAAGTTGCATTATTTCTTGCAAAAGTGAATACCTACGAATGCGAATGGCAAAAAAACGTACCAACCGAATTGAGAACGTTCTCCTTTTTTAAGTCGGTTGAAAAGTGTAAATATTCGTTACATCTAGTGGAGAAAACCTTGTACTCGATTTCGCGATATTTTTTTTATATCGACAGATCTAGAAGCTATTCTCACGATTCTGAAACGTCAAGTGGCAAAAATAAAAAACTAAACCCAGTATTGATTCAGATAAGCGCCCTCCGGTAAATGTCATATTATTATGGTTGTCCAACTTCGGCAAAAATCAGGACCAGCGATCCGGTATTGACGGTGGCGCCGTCCTGTCAATGTCACAGGTGGGACGGTTCAGTGTAGGACATCTATAACACCCGCTGAAAGTCAGTGACACGAGTCTGTCAAAACTTTCTGTACGTAGTACATATTTAATATTTATTATTCTGTGATATACAAAACTCAAAGGTGACTGACTGACATAGTGATCTATCAACGCACAGCCCAAAACACTAGACGGATCGGCTGAAATTTGGCATGCAGGTAGATGTTATGACGTAGGCATCCGCTAAGAAAGGATTTTACGAAACTCTACCCCTAAGGGGGGTAAAACGGGATCCACGAGTATGAAGTCGAAATACGCTAGTTCTGTGATATAACAGCACTTCTAGTATCTCAAACCCTCACCGTTTCGTTTAACGGTGTCTCCCACATTTGTGGTCCGGGCAGGTAGTCCCGGGAACAGATTCTGGCGGGCCAGGTCGTCTTCCGCGTCCAGGTCTATGATCGGCGAGTCGTCGTACCGGGAGCTCACGCGACCTGCAACAATAAGTGGTTTAGATATCTTATACACTCTGAACTTGATGAAACTTAAGTATCAAAGTACCATAGCTATTAGAGGCTTTTCACGGCAACCAAGAGATGGCGCTATCTGTACATTAGGTCGCGGTGACGAAGTAGCAACTTGTTTATCGTTGCTTTAATGAGGGGAGGGGCTCATTTATTTGCTTCTTACCCTCATCAGGAAGTCTGGCATGGCACAGTGGGTGCATCTCAAGACACCTCTCGCTGGCAACAAGCTGCGCGGGCGCGTCGTGGGCCGCGTGACGTCATGTCGTGATGTCTAGTGTCTAGTAGATCACTACCTATTCTCTATCTTGTGACTTAAGACCGAGAGATGGAACTGTCTGTATATTAGATGAGGACGAGATGCATGGGCGACACCAGCGCTTTATTTGCTAGTTTCTGACAGATGACTGTTGGGTAACTTTTGACTTGTGGCCAAGAGATGGCGCTATCTGTATATTAGGTCGCAAAAACAAGATGGCGAGTGCTTGTCAATGTTTCAATGGGAGGGGAAGGGCTATTATTTTGCAATTATCCTCACCAGATAGCGAGTTGTTTATATGTAGTTTGCTTTACTGAAGGCCCCCCCTTCAGTTACTCTTTTGCACTTACCTTCATCAAATAGCGACTTGTTTATCGTTACTTTAATGGAGAAAGGGGGTTATTAGTTTGCTTCTTACCCTCATCAGGCAGCCTAGCAGTCTTAGCCACAGCGAAAGCATCTCCAGATACGTCTCTCTCTGGCAACAAGCTGCGCGGACGCGCATATGGCCGAGAGATGGCGCTGTATGTATATTAGGTCGCGAATACAAAATGGAGTGTTTTTTGTTGATGCTTTATTTGGGGCCAGGTTATTTACTGATGTGTTTAACGTTCTTTTAAGTGTCTGTTTTAGCTACTTACTCTCATCAGGCAGCCTGGCAGTCCTAGCCACAGCGGGTGCGTCTCCAGACACGTCTCTCTCTGGCAGCAAGCTGCGCGGACGCGTCGTGGGCCGCGCCGCCGCTTGGTCGGCTAACACACGACGGCCGCGGCCCGTGTGACGCGATGCGATGCGTTGCGGCACGTTGGACACCGCCTGGGAGCGGGATAAAGGAAAACATTAAAACTAGTAAAGAAGAAAAGGCCTCTAGATACTATCAGTAATAATGAAATCAATGAGGGTTTTCGCGAATGAAAAATCCGCCAGATGGCAATACGTAGACGCGAGGTCCAAATGCTGCATGATTGGTTATTTTTGACATGACATTGACAGATGTCAAAATCCACCAATCACGCAGCAGTCAGACCCCACATCCACGTCCCGCCATCTAGCGGATCTTTCATACGCAAAAACCCTCATTACTAGTAGTGACAATCTATATTTTTTTAAATAGTCTTGTTGCACTAAAACCCTCAGCCTCAATTTTACAGGGTTTATGTTTTTAGCACAAGGTCTACAATAAATTAATTGTTTGTAACCTCTCGATTGTTTTTTTATCCACAACGAGGAAGCTCTTGGTATCACCTGGTGGAAAGTGGTGATCAGGCTGAAGGTAGAAGCGGGTTCCTCCTAAACCCCAACTACAGAGGAACTGGCTATCTTACCTCTCACACAAAACAACTATTATCATTGTTTTTATAGCGACAGATTTAAGTAAGATAGTGGCCCCACTGGGAATCGAACCTGGGACCCCTGGGTCTGAAGTAGGTAGATTTTAGTGATAAATTAAACTGTTTGAACTGTATAAGTAAGTATATCTCACCCCATCATCGTCGATCTCGGTGGAGCTGCAGCTGGAAGGGTTGGAGTACTTGTTTAGTAACTCGATGGCCAGCCGTTTACTCATGTCTTGCTGGAAGAACGCGTGCTGCAACAAACATCATCATCATCATCATCAGGTCATTTGGTATCCATTGATCCACACAACCATATCCATCCATACACAGGATCCACCTGAAATACAAGCTTCTTTTAGCTTAGTTTATGCATCAGTCTCCCACAATAATCTAATTCTACTGTAAGCCTAAATTGTACTAAAAACATTATAATGATTGTTGTGGTGAGGAAATAAAGCATTTTTTTTTATTGGAGGACGAAGCTCTCTAATTTACTAGAAGCAAATGCAGGATCTGGTGGCGTAGTATGAGTTTATTTCAAACGCATTCGATGTCGACTGCGTAAACAAGTGACATTAAACGTATGGCGGATTGTACAGCGCCCCTAGCGGAAACTTTCAAGAACTAAATTTTTCATATATTTTTTTTGGCGCTCGCTTGTGACGACGTTTGATTTAAACTCACACTAAGCCCTCTGGCTTACACTTCCCATATGGCGTTCGCTTATTTCTCTTTTAGTCACCTCTTACGGCAAGAGTATTCCCTTTCTACTTTGCTGGAATCACACGTCTTGATACGAACAATCAGCTCGATCTTCATGTTAGTCGTGCCGCGTACAGCACCTACGTATTAGGTACCTATCTGTAATAGGATGGGTAACCGACCTGCAAGAGCTTGTCAGTGTCATAGACCGCTCTATCAGCCGTAGACACTTCAAAGGAGCTGATAGATTACAGCGTCTTTTGGATTAGTAACGCCGGGTGCAGCTCCTTCCATCAGCTATAGACACTTGAAATAGGTTGTTAGATCGTAGCGTCTTTTGGGTTAGTAACGCCGCGCGCAGCATCTATCACTATAGTTATATCAGGATGGGTGACCGACCTGCCTTGTGCAGCTCCTTCCATCAGCTATAGACACTTACAGAACTGCTGACGATCAATCTTGGTGGCGCGCTTTGGTTTAAACACTTCAAATGACCTTATTGATCGTGGCGTCCTTTGAGTTAGTAATGCAGCATCTATCCCCTTGGCTGCAGCAGGATGGGTGACCGACCTCCAAGAGCTTGTCAGCCTTATGCTGCTCTATCAGCTATAGACACTTGTTGATGGATCGTAGCGTCTTCTGGGTTAGTAACTCCCGAGTGTAGCACCTATCGTCTTGGCTACAGCAGGGTGGGTGACCGACCAGCTTTGTGCAGCCATCCATCAGCTATAGACACTTACAGCCACAGTTGAATTGATGACGATCAAGCTTGGTGGCGCGCGAGCTATAGACACTGAGACAAATGAGCTAACAGATCGTGGCGTCCTATGGATTTGTCTTGAACCGTTCGCCATGGCTATATCAGGATNCCCACCTCTAACCTATATTGGTTAAAATTATCCAATAGATCACGGTCATTTCCCTAAAACTGATAGTTTTGTTACAATCGCCTCTCTAAATCGTTTCAAACAATCATCATTACTACCCGTACGTCAAGAAATTTGCGTTTTGTATTGTTACATCTACTATTGCAATACGAAAATGTGTGGATCGTTAAATGAGAATAATAGACGATAGCTACATTGAGGTACATCAGACCGTTTCAAAGCAAGATGTCGCAAGACCGTAACACGGATTGTGTTCAACGAGCAATCGAACTTTTTATGGCCGCAGTTAGAAGAATCAAAGATACTAATTGAGAGGTCAAAGCACACAATTGATGTTTGACCTAAAATATCTCATACTGTTGTAATGACCAATGTTTATGTACTGCTGACATAATAAGGAGAGCCGCAAGTGGAACTAATTTGGCCACACTCTCCCAGAAGGGACCCTGATCACATCCCTAAGCAGGCTCTAGATCGGAACCCCCAAGGAAAACGCAAACGTGGTCGCCCCAAGCAAACTTGGCGGCGCACTGTAGCAGGCGAGGCGAAGAAATCGGCAAGACCTGGAGCGAGATCAAGCTCGAAGCTCAAGACCGAATGCGATGGAGGACTGTTGTGGACGCCCTCTGCCCCATCTAAGGGACATAGGAGCTTAAGTCAAGTAATAAAGAGAGATAGGTACTGTCCAGTAAAAACTCAGGAGATTTTGGACTTCTGCAACTCTACAATTTTCGGAACCCGCACCACATTATGAAACTTATGAGCTAACGAAATCGCAGGTGTTCAATGTTAATAAATTACCAACTGAAAAAATTTAAGGATAATAAAGACACGCACAATTAATTCTTACAAAAAACTCAAGAATAGAGTTATTAATACATTTTCCAGATGTGCACAGCTAAGGTAATTTTAAACGACCCCACGTCAGAGTATAAAGCACATGTGGTGCATTAAGTTCTCATCTTCTAACGAAAAGTAACTATTTTAAGGAACCACATCTGTACTAAATACGCATATCTGTCACAGACATCAGACATTGTTAATCATGGAATCGTAAGTCAAGATCTTGATGAATTCTTGAATGTATCCCTTTTTACAAATGACTAGCCAGTGTTAATTATGATGTTTTAATTTAATTGTAAAGCTAAAGACCTGTCGGGCGTTTAATAAAATTGTACAAGGAATTCTAGGGTTATGCAAATAGCATTCACGAAGTTTCATATGTCATTTGAGCCCGGGTCGGGTCGTCAAACAGTCGCCCGCTTGTCGGCTTTTTAAGATATGGAACCCTTTAATAGCTCAGGGTAAGTGTATACGGGCGTGAAGGGGTCGCCGAGAATAGCCTGGCACGTGACCCACATATTTAAATTGCAGTAAAACGACTGCACAAAGCGTAAATAATGGAGTAATTACATTCAACATTACACCAGTCACAGGTACGAAGTACTTCGTGAACATGTTTTGTGACTACATTTTACAAAAGTATGTATTTGTTTTAACAACTACACTCAGGTCAAACCAGTATAGAAATGGAAACATTTAGCATAGTGCCACTTTCTTTCTTTAGTTTTGCTGAAACCAGGTTGTTCAAACAAGGCGTGCGTATATTTAGAGCTAGTATCATCGGAGGCAATCTTGACACAATCACGTCTGCGATCTATTGAGAGGGAATCATAAATCTGCATCAAGACGAACGATGCAACGAGCAATCATGTAATTTAGACCGTAAACCACTACTTGCAATTTCATCGCCAATTGGTTATAGCCCGGTAAAGAGTGGAACCATTTTAGAGGTTGTTATTTAATTTAGGCACATCCCTAATCCAATCGTAGTTCGTAGAATTATTTTGCGCACTTGCTGGTCAACAAAGAAAAGCGTTTGAAAACTCGTGACATGCATTATTTTTTGCACGTAAAGAGAGCACGCGTATCCTTCGAGACTTTCCCCTATTAAATTCACTTTCTCATTGTTATTTAGTTTCAATTTCACGACAGATCCGTATGGAATTGAACCTTGATTACGAAACAAACGTATTAAAGATCATATAACACGCTGACGTTTCATTACACATAATCATAAAGGTTACATAATCGATAATAATAACAAATTGACGAAAAAAACATGAGTCGCGATCACGAATCACGACACTAATTCTTTTCGCACATTAGAAGTCATAGAATTTTAATGGGCAGTTACATAAAATAAATAAGAAAATGTTAATATTGCAACTAAGCTCAATTACGCCTCGTTTGTTTGGTTTGCGTGATTAGCAGAGTTATGTTATCAGATCTGAAGTAAAGGTTACTCTTGAAGGTTAGTAATTATCATAGCGTTTCTACGTGCTGCAAAAGATCTGAAAAGAAGTTTTCATAAAAGAACTAATGAAACCGTCAACTGCAGCCAAGAGGCGTATTTTAAAAGCATTGAGAATACCTACTTATTCGCCTAATGTAAATGCACTTTAAAGCAATTTATTCGCTACTTGAGTTCTGACTGAATCATACAGCCGCTGAATGCTAACAAAAAAGGAACAGGCAGAGAGTAATGGTTTAGCGCTGATTTAAAGGAGACAAGTGCCTGCGTCTAGCTGAGGATGACGTAAGAGTCAATGAATTTATCACCTGGATTTCTAGAAGTTGATATTGAATATTCAAGACGAAAATATTTTTTGGACGACTTAGCCGAATGTTAAATTAGATTTGAAAATGTCGCTTCAACAGGACTAGAAAAGGATACAGCAAAAGGGCAGAGCAAGGAACTCTCAGCCAGAAAACTTCGAGCAAAGAAGCCGAAGTACTTACATCAGATCGTACTCATTTAATCAGGCATCGGGTCATGTTACACGTACTTGACGCTGCGTGGCTGTCCACGTGAACAAACAGACGGTAGACGGGAAACTATTAACGCGGGAGGTTGTTTACTAACTTCACCCATACATCCTATCAGCGACGAAAATTGTTGCTTCGACAACAACAAACATTACGAAAGGCGAACTTCTGTGAAGAGCCTAATTGGAAGCACAATTTACTGGAGTAATTCCACTGCAGGCATCTGTGATTGGAACGAAAGATCGTTTTCCTATAATAATAAATAAAATCTGTAGAGATTAAGAGAACGGTTGTAAAAACCTATAAAATGTTATGATTCCTAAGAAAGATGATGTTACGATCGAATTTTCAAAAGATGGTAAAGCTGTAAAATTTTCTACCCAACCACTTCATAATCTTCAAGTGTTTCATATCTCAATATCCTATAGTACCAGCAAATATTACGAAACGTGTCCGTTTTCCGCATCGCATATAAAATTACAAGAGTGTCTAACAATAGATTTCAGGTCATTATACGGCTTTTAACGGCGGCCCATGGGCCTAATGGGCTGGCTAATGTGTAGGGTATAAATATATAACCTACTTATAAAAGGGCCCGGGCATTTTCCAATAATGATGATTAGATTAATATCCGATAAGAAAGCAGTCGAATTTGATAATTTCACGCCTATAATAAAATTTAGGGCGATATTGTAAGTATTAATGTTTTCAATTCAAGTGTATTACAATTCATGTTTTGTAATACACAAGTTACTTATACCAGTGTTAATAATGTTACAGAGGTATATGTTAACTAGAAAGACTTTAAAACATTGCGATGTCGTTACTCGTTA